AAGAGTATCGCCGCGTTCGTGAAAGGTGCGTTGCCGCATGCGCGTCTCCACCAATTGCATTCCTAACCCAGCGCGCAGGCACGGTCGCCGAATCCTCCCCCATCGTCCCCATATCCGCGCAGCTAAAGTACAACATCGACGCTGTGAACGAGTACATCGTCAAGCGCATCCCCATTCCCGTGCGCGACTTCACCTCCGACCCGCGCCTCATCGTCATCCGCTCGTTCGACGTGAACAAGCCCGGCGCGGAGGTGGACGACCTCAAGGGCGGCGTCGCGGGCGGCTCCATCCTCACGGGCGTCCTGCGCCTCGGGCAGGAGGTCGAGATCCGGCCGGGCGTCGTGACCAAGGACAACGCCGGCCGCAACCAGTGCAAGCCCATCTTCAGTCGCATCATGTCCCTCCACGCCGAGAACAACCTCCTCGACTTTGCCGTCCCCGGCGGGCTCATCGGTGTCGGCACACGGATAGACCCCACGCTCTGCCGCGCGGACCGCCTCGTCGGGCAGGTCCTCGGCGCTGTCGGGAAGCTCCCGAAGATCTATACCGGTTAGTAGCCGCTCCTCACCATCGACTCCGTACTCACGCGATGTAGAACTGGAAATCAGCCTGTTCCTCCTGCGGCGCCTGCTCGGCGTCAAGACGGAGGACAAGAAGCAGACCAAGGTGTCGAAGCTCGTCAAGAACGAGCTGCTGCTCATCAACATCGGCTCGACGTCGACGGGCGGGCGCGTGCTGAGCGTCAAGGCGGACCTCGCGAAGATCCAGCTCACGTCGCCCGCATGCACAGAGATTGGCGAGAAGGTCGCGCTGTCGCGCCGCATCGAGAAGCACTGGCGGCTTGTGGGTGCGTATGCCGTTATGTCCTTTCTGCGTGCTGCCTGCTGACTTGTTTTCAGGGTGGGGGAGTGTGCAGCGGGGTACAGTATTAGAAGTAGACTAATTTCTCACTCTGGTATATCCATGCTTGTACATGTCGGCAGTCGGTTTAACACCTGTATATCTCGCGCGGACTGGGATCTGAGTCGGCCATCCGTTTTCTTGATGCTTAGTTGTCTCCTTCTCCTGCCTTCACCTACTGCTCACTTCTCCAGCTGACACTAACTCTTATTATCCTCCCCGCAGGGCTCCGACCAAACGCTCCTCCGCATCCATCCCGAGGCCGCACAGGCTAATCACATTGAGAACTCCTTCCTTCGACTGCCACTCGGAGCCATCGAGGTTGTTCCTCCACTAATGAAGGCGGTGATGATACTGCGTGTATCTGGGCCAGATCTGGGGACGCGTAATCTGCACCGCGTTCAAGAGGCAGTCGGAAATCTTAGAAAATACACGAAGCTCGTTTATTAAGGTCGATTCGACAAGATTCTGCGGTCTCCGAAGGTCACACTCAAATGCTCTCTCCCTCTACTCGTCAGTTGACAGCCCACCGTTCAGCTTCACCAACACATTCAGGCGCCAATGCGGATGCGGCGACTTCCCGCTCGCGTATGGCCCCGAGGACGGCGGGACATGGAACTCGAGCACATGCAGCGCCTCCTCCATGTCCATAAAGTACAGCGCCATCTGCCCGCTGCGCACCGCCCGCCGGCACATCGCGGCGTTCGTTTCGGACATGTGCACCATCTGCGCGAACTCGGCGAACGGCGCCGCGCCAAAGTCGACGAGCCGCACGCGCGCCGCGTCCTCAGGCTCCGTCTCGTCGACCTTGACGGTGAAGACCGCGAGGTGCGTCGCGCGGAGCGACGCGCGCGGGCCCTTATGCAGCTCGAGTGCGTGGAACGCCTGCGCATGTGAGCCGCCGTGTTGGCGCAGAGAAGGCAAAGCGTACCGCGTATTCGATCGCTGCGCTATTGTTCCTGTACCACGTCTGGAGCGTCACGGGCGTGCAGAACCGCGTGCCCGCGAGGCGCGCGGCCTCTCTTTGTTCTGCGAGCCGCGCCGCCTGCGCGACGCGCTGCTTGCAGACCGGCTTGTGTTCCTTCCAGTGCGCTCTGCCCCCACTGTCAGCGCCAACGCGTGGGCAATAACAGCGAAAGAACGCACGCCTGGCATTCGCGGCTGAGCGTTTGTAATAAATAAGATCGCAGAGTATCAATGAGCGGCTGTACAAAGCACAAAGACACCGCGACGCACCTACAATACCCCGTCGTCGCGCACTGCCCGCACTTGGCGAATGCCGGGCTGCCCTTGGGCGGCGCCTTGAGGCACTTGCCACACGGGCGCACCAGGGCCCGCGCTCGGGGATCGCGTCGAACATTTGCTCCGCTGTGGTGGTGTCCCCGGACGTATCCAATATGAGCATCGACCGTTCGGCACGCGGCGCGAACAGGTCGACCTGAGGGCAGATGCCATAAGCGAGAGTCGCGGGGGGTTCGATTTTTCGGCGAGTGGCAAGGCGCACCTCGAATATAGCACCCTTCGTACCGTTGAGGTCTATCTTCTCCACGCTCAGGACGCTCATGTCGAATTCTTCTGAGAATATACGGGGGATAGGATGGGGAGGAAAGGAAAGGATAAACGCGTTCAAGTTGAAAGACGCGCTTATTTATTGAAACTGAGTCGGCACGTGTCGATATCCTTTGTTCTTTGTCTTGCATGTTGCCATCCTCAGCCACACCACACCACGCCGCCCCAGGATGCACCCTCTTTCTGAGTCCTGTTCTTGTTGTCGGTGTCACGGTGGTCGGGCGTCTGTCTGTCTCTTTTATGGTCGGCCTTCCGTAATGCGATCTCGACTGGCGCGAGTACTTGATGCTTTGACTGCTGTGTAGTGTGCGGTGTAATGTGCGGTTTTCAAGTTTTTTGGAGGAAGATCCGCCGCTAGACGTAAATCACGGCGACTCGATAGGCTCTGACTCTTGGTCCTTGTTACGACTCGTTACGAAACTCAAGGGCCAAGCGATATTGATCGACGGCGTTTCCTTCGATCGTCCAAGCGCTAATACCTCACAGTCCACGAGGACGGTGACGAGACTGCCGGAGACGCGCGTCTGGGGACGTAGATTTTCGGCCGGCTGAACGCTCATTGGTCGATCGGGCCTATGACACAACTAATCTTATCAGATAACGAAGATCTTATCAATCCGCAGACGGCCGCAACTCGATAAATACTCGACTTTCCCCCTGCCATGCACACTGCCGAGTCCCTCGCATGGCATACTTATCAGACAAACTCAAACTCCTCGTCGTCGCGCTAAGGCTCTTCGTCCCCTATGGCTTCAAGCTCCTCTTCCGCTCCTTCCTCGCGGTGCAGCACCGTTGGACGTACGACGCGCTCCCTTCCGCTGACGCGCAAAACGTCGTCGTCGTCGGCGGCTCGTTCGCAGGGTGGGAGCTCGCGACGCGCTTAAGCCAGACCCTGCCAACAGGATATCGCGTCGTGCTGGTCGAGCGAAACTCGCACTTCAACTGGTCGTGGGCGTTCCCGCGGTTCGCCGTCATCCCGAGGCACGAGGAGAAGGTGTTCATCCCGTACCGCGACGCCCCGCGCGGCGCGCCGGCGGGAATCTGGCGGCATGTGCGCGGGGCAGTGGTGCGCGTCACGGAGGGGGAGGTGCACCTGGACTCGGGAGAAGCGATCCCGTACGCGTTCCTCGCAATTGCAACGGGCGCCGCGCAGCCCGTCCCCGCGCGGGTGCGCTCCACGGACGCGGCGGAAGGGTGCGTGGAGCTACGTGCGGTGCAGCGGGACATCGCCGATGCAGCGCGGATCGCGGTCGTCGGCGGGGGCGCAGTGGGCGTGGAAATCGCGGCAGACGTGAAGAGCTTCTTCCCGCACAAGACCGTCACCCTCTTCCATTCGCGCGACCAGCTGCTGCCGGCGTACCAAAAACGGCTGCACGCGCACGTCACGGAGGCGTTTGCTGAGCTGGGTATTCGTGTGGTCTACGGGGAGCGCCCGCAGATTCTGCCGGGGGCGAAGTCGCTGCGCACGTCGGCGGGAGTGGAGGAGTTTGATCTCATCGTAAGTCCCCACGCATGCTCCGCTCGGTCCTCCGTTGAAATTTCCATCGTCGCATAGATCCCCTGCACCGGCCAGCGCCCCAACTCGGCGCTACTCGCAGACCTCGCGCCCTGATGCGATCTCGAAGGAGACGAAACACATCCTCGTGCAGCCGACCCTGCAGATCCAGGACCCGAGCAACGCGCTGGGACACATCTTCGCGCTCGGTGATGTCGCCGCGACGGGCGGCCCCAAGATGGCGCGCGCCGCGCAGTTCCAGGCTGAGGTCGTGGCTACAAACATCCTTGACCTCGTCGCGAAACGGCGTCCCAGGAGGCTGTACAAGTCGCCAGACGCTTGTGGAGGGCGCCATAAGGTTGACTTTAGGGAAGGTTGGTTTTTTGTCTGCGTTGTTCGGAAAGGGATGTTTGCTCAAAAGTTTTGGTAGGGGCGACATGTGGTGTACGGGCAGGAAGACGACGGGAGCGATCTGATGATTCCGGGGAAGGGTGGACGGGAAGATTTGGACATTAAGAGAGCATGGAGGTGGATGGGTGTTAAATACAAGGCTTGACGACGATACTTCAAGGTCGATCTGTATGTGGCCATCTAATTATTTCAGTGACACTTATACCATGCGAAGTACGAGTTTCGTCCGCTGTGCTGTTTATAGTTCTAAGACGATGAGTGCGCTCCGTACTCTGACAACGACAAAAAAAACTGACACCTCCCAATAAATGGCCTGATCCTGAGTCGAACAGGGATACTCTGCAGAGAAGGATTGCGGAGACCTACCCATTCGTTGCAGATGCACTAACTAACTGTGCTATCAGGCCGATGCGAAAGTATATTGGGCATACCAGAGTCTAATATTCGGCTTTCATTCGATGCAGTTTATGTAGTCAACGGATAAATAGCCATAGATTATTTCAGACTTACACGAGCTTCGTTCATTATAATTAGCGTCTGATTATAATAGTCTAAGGCTATGGTTAACCTTGCGATCCGGATCCGTACTTCAACGGAAAAAAAAAAGGAGTTCAATGCGGGACAGTGACCTGACCCTGAGTCGAACAGGGATCATTCTGCAGAAGACTTCGAGAAACAACCGATTTCCTGCAGGCGCACTAACCAACTATGCTACCAGGCCGATGTGAAAGTTTGTTGGATTTTTCATCAGAGCCTAGTGGGCAGCTGTGCTTAGGTTATTACTAAGATATGCTATTCTTCGACGCAGTTGAAATCTGGCCAATGGAAAAAATAGCTCAAATTTCTATGCACGAACTCAACCCAACGAAGTGCTGCAAGAGATTAAGGCACACTCGACTTATTCGAATTCTCGTACAGACTCTAGACCTCCTTCATAATGGACATAACACACGGAGCTATTGACCCAGAGCACCCTCAGATTTAGTAAGTATTACTCGTGGCCCGAGGCTCTATCATCATTTCGAAGGGTGACCCTTTCGTTTTGTCTCACTCCACAACGTCTCAATTATAGATGTGTGAAATCCAATCGGAGTTTGGAACTCGTGGTCTCCAGACTCAGCGAGAAACGCCGTTCTCAAGTCTTGTCTCGATTTGAACCTTTTCAACCAACGCTTCAGAGTTTCGCAAGTGAAATGTAGGAGAGACCTACCTCTTCTGTCTGGCAATCATTGCGGCTCCATTTGCGGCTCGATTCTGTGCCGGTCAAAGCTGAAGTTGGCAACGATGATGGAGACGATGACGTCATAGACGATTTTCTAATGGGCGATCACGCGTACTTACAAAGCATTCTGGGGTTCCCCCACAACTTAGACCGCAACCACCATGTCCCAAGGTAGGGCGGTGCCCCAAGCCAGCCGTGTGGAATCCCCCATCCACCGTCTAGTGCTAACACGTTGTTAAAGGCATCGATCTCGATTATCTTAGCGCTGGCAGGCATGACATCCACAACCTACCCCCCGACCCGTGTGCGGAGAACCCTGGACGGGTAGGATGTCCCATATTTCCATTCACTCAGCTTACCGTGGCATTGCAGGTGTACCCCAAATCCGACCCGACCAAAGGTGCGTTGCTGTAACTTGAAATGCACCCTTACTGACCCCGGTCCCAGCGGCCTTGAGCACGCCCGTGTCCGAGCTCAACTCGCCGCGTTACGTGGGAAACCCGTACCTCATGCACGGTGCGTTCAAGAAGCTCGACCACTCGCTCGGCGAGGTCATCGCCGTCCTCGAGGGCGAAGAGGCCAGCTCTCTCCTCGACGAGGAGAATCCGCTCCTCCAGAAGTTCCGCGTTTGGCGCGAGGAGCTCGACAAAATCCGCGCGGCCGGCGGCCGCAGCCCCGCGAGCGTGTCCTTCCTCCAGCTGGCAACCCCTTCGCGAAGCCGCTCCCCTAGGCGCAGCCGCTCCCCGGATCAGGAGGGAGGCCTGTTTGTTGACTAATTCTCTCTGGGTTTATTCAAGGACCGCCTGACGGACCGCTATACATAGAAGCTGCCGACAAGTAGCCACAATCACCAGTTGTACCATCATATTTCGCCATCTGTCCCCCGTAACGCGTTCAATTGCCAGTCCCGAATTACGAAAAAACCGCTGCGATTGCGTCATTCTGAACTATGTTGTACCGCGGACCTGCAGGTGGATAGCTGCCGTGAACACGCTGTGTATCTCCGCACAAGATCGACTGTCGAGGGATGTTTAACATTTTGGTTGAATTAAGTCATGCTGACCGCGAAGAGTCGCAAGACCACAAAATTTACAGGTTTGAACCCGCTCAAAGACCGAGTACGCCGTGAATGTCAACGGATATTTTATCTCTCGATTTGGGAGTTTATATTAACGGCGATGATTGCCAAGGCATCCCAAGGTCAAAAAAAAAACCGGAGTAAGACTGGCTAACAGCACCTTCGGCCTAACGATGCGATGGACTAAGGCTCAATAAACTTTACTGATCGCAACGATTCTCTGGACAAGGTAGACCCCTCGGAAATACTGAGGAAGACTCGCAGCACAACGCACAAGGGAGACTGCCGAGGCATGTTCAAATTCTTCGCTGAATAAAATCGTACTGACCACGAAGAGTCGTAAGACCACGCAATTTCAGGTTTGAACCACAGGGAGTCGAGATGTGCACCGTGAATGCCAACGGATATTTGGTCTCTTGATTTAGGAGCTTACTAATCTTAGTCCTGACAATCATGACGGTTGACCTGCACTTACCGGGCTTTCGACGATGCGATCTGTGCTGAGGTTGAATAAATCGCACTGGTCGCAGTCGTTCTCATAAACGACAAAACTACATATTAAACAAGTCCTCAGAAGTACTCAAAGTCCTAGAAGACGAGTCATGCATCGTGGGGATGCCTACCATTTTATCTTGGATAGAATTAGGCTCACGATAAGTTGGCCGCTCGGCTTGGATTCTTTCAACGTGCACTAATACTCAAAGTCTTGCATAGGCAGAAAACCCGATTTCCAGGGTTATCTTGTTTTTGGATAGATAGGACTCAAGATCAGTTGGCAGCGCAGCTACGTCCTTTCTTGATGTATCAACTGCGGTATTTTCAGGCCGCGAAATGATCCCAGAATGCGAAAAAAAAAAGAAAGAAAAAAACCAGAGTACTTGACTGCACATTTTCTGTGGACTTACTGGATTTGGCTCCACTTTGAGCTGAGACGCCGACTCCCGCACTACAGTACCCTGAAACGAAGACCAGAAAGAGTCCTCAACTGCACTTTTTTAAAATCCAGTCGTTCAATGATTGATGGGCGCGAAAAAAAGTGAAGGACAAAAGCGAACATGAAAATACGTAAAACTCAAGTGCAAGGAGACTGCTTATCCACATTCGAACCGCGAAACCCGGCGCAAAAAAAATAACCTCGGTCAACACAGCAAATAACCTCGTTCAACGGAGCAAATAACCCCGATCAATAAGCGCGTACCGAGCGCGGGCGGTGCATGGACGTCTTCGCGGTGCAGAAAATTCCGAAGCGCTTCGTGAGGGGCGGGGACTTGTACGTGTAAGTTCCGGGTGGTGGGACGGGGGCGGGAACCTCGTTTTCTTGCTCGGAAGCACGGCGCGTGCGTTTCCGGGCGGGCGCACTGGCAGCCTCCGCCGGGACGACCAAAAAGGACTGACTCGCCGCGCGCCGCAGCCGTTTTCTGCGGCGGGTGGGCGGCGCGGCGGCGGGCGGGAAGGCGTCTGGGGCTGAGACAAGGCGGTTGTTATCAGCGGGTGACAGAGCGGAGTCGAGGTGCAGGCGCGCTTACGAGGCATACGGGGGCATGTGGCAGCTGACGTCGAGGGCTGTGGCGTGCAGGTGGTGATGCCCATGGCGAGCGCCTGCCGCGATTTGTCGGGCAACTCGATGCGGGCGGGCCTTACCTGCGCCCCCGCCGCCGAATCGCGGCCAACAAAATTGCTCGACAGGCGGATGAGCAGCGCGCTTGTCCGGGCTGTAAGTTAAAAAAAAAACACGCCGCAAATTTAGATGCGTCAATATCCGCTGAAGCAACATAATATTAGCGGGTGTTCTGTACCTTGGAGAGCGGGATCAACATCGCCACGCCGCGCATGCAACATGCGCAGGAGATCAAAATAGACGGATTTGTACAGGCACTTTGGCTGTTGGCACGAAGTAAACAGATACAATGATATTCCCGAAGCTTCCAGTCTGTCACGGGCAGTCTTTTTTGGAAGGCCGGTTTTTTTTCGTCAGACGGGAAGATAGGAGATAGGGATGCGATTTGGTTACCTCGATTAAGCGGATGATCTGCCGGGTGGCGACGTGAGGACCGAATTACGGCTGCGGCGCAGATAATGAACAAATAAAAAACTGACCTTGCGGCTGTGTCTGCGGAATTCTGTGGGGGGCAGGTTGGCGCAGGAGAGCAGGTCGGTGGCGGCGCTGAGAAAGGCTGGATTCGTTTCCGCTTGCAGGGCGATGCACAAGGCGACGGCGTCTGTGTGTAGGTCCACTGGATGGCGGGATTCGAGATCCGCAGGAGAAGGAGAAAGAGAAAGAGAAGCCATCGGCGGCAAGAGGATGGATGTGGGAGCGAAGAGCGGCTCGCACAGCTTTGAATGTGTTGTGGTGCAGGTCAAAGGGTTTGTTTAGTGGCACCGTGCCGGCATCGACCGAAATCTGTTTCCATCCAGCGAAGGCCGGTCCCGGAACGGACAAACAAACCCCACGTACGAGGGTGATCTCAATTGCTATCAGCTGCGTTTTTTCTTTCCACGGGGTGGATCAGTGGACTACCGTACATGTCATTTTTACGCGGGATCGATCAATGGGGCAATACGTGTACGAAACAACAAACGAGGAAAAAGACGGGAGTAAAATCCTCCGAGTTGTGAAAGACCTCTGCGGGTGCCGGCGGAATCCAAAGGAGGCAATAGATGTAGTGCCGTTTTGGTAACTACGAAACTGTAACCGCGGCGTGAACCGCCCCCAGGAAATATTGTTTCCCGGGAGTATGTATAGCCTGCGAATGCCCGACATTAATAGTCCCTGGCAAGTGCGGTAAATGGGGCCACGTAGTTCGTGGGAGCAGGCACGCTCTCTGTGCGTTTATGCGCCAACGCTGGAGACGACAGAATAAACTGTCCCAGGGTAGGATAAAGATCATCGCTCCCGTCGAAACCACTGGACTAGACTGACGACGGTGGACGTGGAGCAGGCATAATTTATTGTTCCCTTTAGAGGATCGATATACCCCGGGCATACTCGCGCCACCACGTAACGCGATAGCCAAAATGAAGGGTAATTATCCCAGAAAGAGCTTGCGGTGATCTAAGTCGGGGCCGGAGATATGGGATGGCCTTCCTGGATGCAAATAAAGGCGTCGCCTAAACAAATGGGCAGCCTGCAGCTGGGAAGGCTAGAGACGCAATACGAATGGCTGAATCGAACGTGAAGGAAGGCCCATGAACCCCTACCAAATAGGCGCGAGACAGAGGCTCAGGACGGAGCACGAGAGGTCCACACGACCCAGAAAAAAAGGTGTTCAAGAGATCAGGAACGTCCTAGCGTACGGTAAATACCAGATCAATGAAAAGGAAGAGAACATGATGGACTCGGGTCTGTGGAAAAGCGCAAGCTGTGTCGAGTGACAGAGGTTATTGAGCCAAGAATCGGGCCAGCTTATAGGCCGATGAAACC